GTACAACGTTTCGACAAGGTTTTGTACCTGATGATGACAAAACCTTGTCGAAATGTTGTACATTTGCTGTTATGTTTAACTTATATTAAAGTTTTTCTTCATTACCCACTCAAGCCGTCTCCAGTCATTATTAGTCTCAAAGTGGGTTCCTCGTCATCAAATTAGTAATAATGCTGTTTTTATACCATTGTCAAATAAAATAATATGTCTGATATGCCAACAATCCTATGTTTCATTTATATTAGATGATAATAACGTTACCTTTATTTCAAAATCAGATGAAACAGTGCTCTGATATACTAACATTCCTGTATTGGATATACAATAGCCAGTAGTAACATTATTTTAATGATATTATATAATGACATAAACACCCATTTTATTTGTCCTTCACAGGAACTTTTGCCATCACTAGCCTTCTCACAAGCATCGCCATTGAGAGTGTTAGAGATGATCTTTCAGTAGTACGCCAAGCACCAGTACTTACACAATCTGCTATAAATGGAAGTTGGACAACAGAACAAGATGCAACAACAGCGGTATTATCTGCGGAAAGAGATCTTCTATATCCATACACAGCAATTCAAGTAGCTATGCTGGTGACATTCACAAGTGGTTTACTGCAGGTATAGTATAAATACCTATGTAAAGAATAGATATTAATTATCTGTTATGGCTTAACCATCAATAAGAATTTTTTTTGTTTGAAAGTACATTATCTGTTTAGAAATATATATGTACTGTGTACTTTTATTTTAGTTACCAAACTTTTGTATGCAAAAGAAAAGCATACTGTAATATTAAATTTGTATTATCAAGTTTTCAACTCTTTAATTACATACTTGTTTGATTGCTAATAGTAATTATTGAAACTGACTTCTCATAATAATCTTGAAGAAATTAGTATAATTATTGACATGCTGGTCATTTTTTAGTAAATAAAAGAGAAAATTCAAATCAGGTAGACTTGTATCTGATACACTAAAAGCTTTTCTATGGTGAGTTGCTTTCATGCTGTCAACAACTATGAATTGAAATTCTTAATATCCTCAATACAAAGCAAAGCATATGTAGATTACTCAGAATTCTCCACTCTCACCTTCCACATATTTTGCTTGCATCAGACGAATGTACAGAAACCCCCTTCATTCACACTATAAGCTGAATTTTCTTGTTGACAGTCATGTTCTATCATTAGGTTTTTTTAGTGGCTGTACAAACATCTAGGCCTTCCAGTGAATGATACTCCACAACTTCAGGTTATCATCTTCCATTACTGTACTCCAGATCCAAATATTCTAGCTGTAGATGCTCAATCTCAGGTGAATTTCTTTTTATGCCTACCTTCCTGTCTATCTTCATCAGGTACTCCCCAACATCAGTTGTGCAAAATACCAGTTTCTCCCCATTGCTCCACTTTTGCCATCTCAGCCATGATTTACACAATTATTTCGACTTTCTCACAGAGAACTGGTCTGACGGCTAACATTGAAACATCTTTGATACCCTTCAACATCCATTTTTCACACCAACATTTGATGTATATGACTTCACAGCTGGTTGCTGTTAAATCCTTTATACGATAAGCCAAATTCTCCTCTATAGTAGCTTGAATCTTTGCTCACAATTTCTAATGCTCTTCCCTGACAGAATATAAGTAACACTGGATTACTTTCTGGAGCTTATGCATTAGACACTGTATTTTCTTATCTTCTTCTAACTCCTCAACATATTGCTTCTATCTTCAAATTGTGGCTTATCAACTTCTTCCATAGCAGCCTCACCTACAAATTTTGTTTGCCATAGAAGCCATCAATCCCTTTTGCTGTTGTTGTTCAAGGATGTCTTCCAAGTCTTTCCTCTTGGAGATATGGCAGTCAAATATTCTTTTCTATGTGGTTTTTCCCTACCTTGCTTCATAAAAAGATGCATGTGGGTAAGTAATAATACCCAGGTGCACAGCTTCAGGGCCTACTTAGTATGTGTGCAAAATTTCAGGTTTCTAGATTCTTTCCTATTGAAGCTATGGTGGTCACACACAGAGATGTGCATGCATGCATGTCGGTGTCTCCCTGTGATTTCTATTTGTAATATAAGGAACCACTTCTTTTCTATATGGTTTTCTGCTAGCTTCCCTTATTGAAAAGATGCATACTCATGTGGATAAGATAAGTAATACCCTGGTGCACACCCTCAGTATGAGTGCAAAATTTCAGGTGTCTAAGTTATTTTCCCTTGGAGCTATGGTGGGCACACTTCTTTTCTATTTTTTTTTTGTTAGCTTGCTTCATTAAAATGATGCACATGTGTGCTTGCACTCAGTTGAATAAAAATACCCAGGTGCACACTGCATACGTGATTGTCTGTATCTCTGTGTGATTTCTATTTGTAATATAAGGAACCACTTCTTTTCTATGTGTTTTTTTTTGCTAGCTTGCCTCATTAAATAGATGTGCATGCATATGCGCCAATGCATATGGATAAGTAGTACACAGATGCACACCATCAGGGTCCAGTTAGTATGGGTGCAAAAATTTCAGGTGTCTAGGTTCTTTCCCCTTGGAGCTATGGTGGTTTGTTTTTGCTAGCTTGCCTTATTAAAAAGAAGAGCATGCATGTGTGCAGATGAATAAATAATACCCAGGTGCACACCCTCAGTATGGGTGCAAAATTTCAGGTTTCTAGGTTCTTTCCCCTTGGAGCTATGACAGTCACACTTTTTCCATGTTTTTTTTACTCATTAAAAAGATTCTTATGCACATGGATAAATAATAATACCCAGGTGCACATCCTCAGGGTCTACTTGGGGTGGGTGTGAAATTTCAGGTTTCTATGCCCTTTCCTTTTGGAGATACGGCAGTCACATATTATTTTCTATGTGTTTTTTTACCTTGCCTCATAAAAAGACACACACACATGTGGATACTTAATAATACCCAGGTGCACACCCTCAGGGTTCACTTAGTATGTGTTCAAACTTTCAACTTTTTAGAGTCTTTCCTCTTGGAGTTATGGCAGTCACAGACCCACCGTTTTATTATTACCGATTGTAGATAGAAATCACAGACAGACAGACATGCACGTGCACATCTTTTTAATGAGGCAATCTAGCAAAGAACCACGTAGAAAAGAAGTGGTTCCTTATATAACAACTTCTGATATATTGAAAAGCCAGAGCATTTTGGTAACAATGTGTTCCAACAATGGTTTTATATAATGTTGTTTTGCAATAAAAGTGTAACCTAATGTTGTTGTTAAGAGGCTATATGCTGAAAGTATAAAATGAAATGTATGAACTACAAATTTGAAAAAATATTTGTTGTTTTCCAATTTAGAGGCTTTGTTAATTAAAGAGATGTGTCTTTTATTATTTGTTTTTATTATCTAAGTTTAAAATCGGAGGACAAGTCGGAAAGAAGGTTACCTTCATAAACAGGCCCCATCCCATAAAGGAGCAACAAAAGTATATAGGTTATACTTTTATGCTAAAATGGGTTCAGATTACACATACTGATAGAATAAATCAACCTAATAACTCGAGGAAAGCCGTGTACTGTCGCTAGTCTATAATAATAGAAGGGCGTGTTTGCGGGTTTGTGCGTGCTTGTGCTAGTAACGCTTTGATTCAAAAAATGTAAAATTCTCTACTTTATGAATGAAGATAACATCATAGTTAAAGTTAATTCTTATATAAGAGAGTACATTGCTCTGAATGCAGTCAAAGTGAACAGCAGGATGAGATTGTAGTGACCAGTTATCAGTTGTTTTCATAGTTAGTTGCCTATACAGTCACATTAGTTTTATTGTTCATTATTCAATGATAAAAATTTAATATATTCCTTACACTGTGATACTTGTGAGATAACTTTTTTTTGGTGTATTTAAATTGGTGATCATAATTTTGCATCCCCCAGTGGGAAAGTGTAAGTCTTTGGATTTACAACACTAAAATCAGGGGTTCAATTCCCCTCGGTAGACACAGTAGATAGCCTGATGTGACTGCTATAAGAAAAACACCATCATTTTGTTTCATAAGAAGAGGCATTTGGGTGTATTTCAGTTGTGTTACCAAGTAATACTCTGTTTCCTGTAAGTTATCCATGTGTAATATAGAAGATATGCTGAAGGATAAATTTACCTTCGTGAAACATAGGAAGAAGTTCTGTGTGTTAAATAGGAATTAGGCCAATACATTACTTTCAGTATTATTCATGAAGTAAGATGTGTATATCTTGGTGACTATTTATACTTTACTGTCAATGTTATTCATGAGTAATACATGAAGTAAGATTTGTATATCTTACTAGAGTATTTATACATTTCTCTTGGTGTTTATTTATAGGTATTACCTGAAGTAAGAAATGTATATGTTGGTGAAAATATTTGTACATTACTCTCAATGCTATTTGTGAGTAATACATGAAGTAAGATATATATATATATATATATATATGTATATATTGGTTATAATATTTACAAATTGCTCTCAGTGCTATTCATGGGTAATATATGAAGTAAGATATGTATATCCTAGTGACAATATCTCTGAGGAATACTTATAATATTGTGTAATAAGTAAAATGGGTTTGCATGTTGAAGTGTATATTATACAAATGTATTTAAATTGTGTTTCTTAACAATATGAAGTTTTCTGTGTGGCTAACTAACTTTTATTAGATGCTGTTGATTATCATTTTGTTTCAGGCTATCATGGGAATATTCAGATTAGGCTTTCTTACTGTTTTTATGTCTGATGAGATGGTCAGTGGCTTTGTAACTGGATCAGCTATCCACGTATTGACTAGTCAGATGAAACCCCTTACTGGTATTAAATTCAGCACATATTCAGGACCCTTCAATATTATTCTGGTATGATCTGTTTTCTGTTTTGTGATTTTCATATCATATAAGTGTTTTATTGTGTAATAGTTCATCTTATGTTTGTATCTTAATTCTCAAATTACTGAGTTGTTATAACACCAGTAACAATTCTTAATGTAATGAACTGGCCAAAAACATTGGGTGAAGTCATTCATGTGCAATTTTAAGTACATAGAGGATCCTAGTAGTAAGTAGTGATACTAATTGTAACACTGATGGTATTTCAGTTAATATTATATGTGTTACTGATATTTTATTAGGGACCCTATAATCCTAACAAATAAAGGATTAGAATTTCAAATAGCCTGAAATTGAGTTAACAGATAAATTTAAATTTAGTAG